ATCAAGAATAAATTATTCTGCACAGCTGAGTATGGGGTATGGGGATGGGGGGTGGGGTGAGGCAGGGAAAGAAAAATGGACCTTTAATAGACTAAATGACTTTCAAGAATTCCTATGTATAAAAGTTGAGCTGACTGATCAAGACAATGATCCAAGAAAATTCCAAAGGACTCAGGATGAAAAATGCTATCCACCTCCAAAGAGAGAACTGATAAACTCTGAGTACAGATTGAAGCATACTTTTTTCACCTTCTTTATGTTTCTCACTTTTTATTGTTTTGTTGTTGTTGTTGTTGCAATACGGCTAATATGGAAATGTTTTGCATAACTTCACACGTAGAATTGATATCATATTGCTTGCCTTCTCAATGAGTGGGGGAGGAGCAGAACAGAGGGAAAGAATTTGGAACTCAAAAATTTTTTTGAATGAATATTAAAAACAAATCAAAATTTTTACAAAGGGAAAATCTTTGAAACACAAATGCAAGAGATAAAAAAAACCCTAGAAAGATATTAAAGGTTTGTAAATCTAAATTCAAAGGTTGGGAAGATTATCAGACTCTCCTGCATATTCCCCCAAGTTTAGTAGCTAATGTCGCATAAATTAATAGTTACATTATAAATATTGCCCTCCAAAACAGGAGAAAGCAAAACCCAACACATAAATTCATGTATTTTTCAGCGAGATTGGCTTTTACAGAGGGATATTTACTTCAAGAATATAATGGGAATAAATGTACAAACACTTCCCTCAACACTTCAGAGGAACAATTCACCCTATACTACCTCAGTCTTTGGAGGTGTGGGGTGGGGAGGGGAAGTGATTAGGCTCACACCTTAAACTCAGCTCCTCCACAGCATTAGTTCCACCAGGTTCCAAGTCCAAAGTTCCCTGGGCTTGGCTCCTGGTACCCAGCTTTCTCAGGGCTTCCTTGCTATGCCAGTTGCAATATCTGTCTTGGAATTTTGGGCTCTAAGGTCGCCATGGCCCAAGCTCCTGGGTCCAAGACTCTGCTCCCTTCCTGCACCTATGGTGCCCCTGCTCTGAGTGAATAAGTTGTTCACTCTTGGATGCCATTGGAAAGAACAACTATACCTCAGTCAGGGAGAATGAAAGATACAGGCAGTTCTGGTGACAAAGGCAATGGAAAGAGGTTGTTCTAAACTATGTGGCATTTGAATAAAGAATATCTTCTCCCAGATGCAGGTCCCTGTCAGTTCCTGTGTGGACGCCTCCATTTTAGGTGACTGGCATACACCAAAGCTCTGTTACACAGAAATGAAGCAAAGCAACCACATCCCAAAGGAACAGTGAGTACTTGGAGTATGAACGCTGTGCACACAGCCCTCTTGGGTCCTCCGAGATGAAGAGCCCATTCCTCTGGCCTTGTGAAGCTTCTGCGCTAGCGTCCTTCATGCAAATACAAGTATCCGTATCCATGTGAGGGTCACAGGCTAACTGTCTCCGGCAGTCACATGTTTTAGGACATTGGGAAATGGCAGGCACCTTAAGATATGCAGTGAGCTAAGCTTGAATACTAATAAATATCCTGAGAAATAACTCGACAGGAGGTAATGGGATCTTAAGGAGAGGGAGAGGGATTGAAAAGGAGTGAGAAGCAAAACTTTTTGCAGAAGTTAGAAGAAAGGGGGAGAAAAGCTATTTAAGTAAATTTATAAGACTACAAGCAGCTATATATAAAAATTTAAATTTAAAATTTAATTTTAAAAATTTAATTTAAAATTTAATTTTTCACATACAAGCTAAAAGCATAATATATATTCTATTTATAAATATATTAACATATTTATGCTCAATAAATTATAGAGTATATATTAATGATATATTAGCAGTATTATATTATTATGTATAATAAACCATATTAAAGAGAAAATTTCTTCTCCTCAGAAGAGGAGTCTCTCAAAATGGGGGTTGCACTTGCAGTTTCAGTATACAATAAGTAACAAATTTAACATGAAGAAGAATACTGGCTTGACCCAACACTGAGCCTTACTTCTCTGGATAGAAATTCAAAAGCAGGAGCATCTTGATCCAGAAGGTAGGTCACAACAGTCAAAAATAAGACATCGGCTGATGAGAGAAAGCCACTCAGGACAAAAGGGTAAAATTTGAAAGGGTTAAATGATGAACAAATACTTACATCCTAATAAGAGGAGAAGTGATTATGCTCCCCAGGTATATGACTTTATACTGTTTTGTTTGTTTCAAGAGAGAAAAGAAAAAAGAGGGGAGGGGGAATACTTTAGGGAAAAAAATGAGGAAAGTATGAAAGGAACTTATTTCTCAGAAGAAAAATATCCAAAATTGAGGTGGGATGAGGAAAATAACACATCTCATGAACCTCACTTTTTTACTTGAGTTAAACAAAGTAAAGTTAACCATACACAGAGTTTAGTGTGGAAATACAACAAAGTAAACAGAGATAGATGGGGACACAGAGACAGAAGAGGGTTGGTTAAGTAAAAGGGAAGAGTCATAGGCAAAATAAACTTCAATTACAAAGAGCTGATTCTAAAGGGGAGATTAAAAGGAGAGAAAGAAAGGGTAAGATCAAGCGATGTGGCTATTAGCTGAGTGAAGAGAGGAAGGACAAAGGATTAGGATCAGACCACTCCAATTACAGAGTACCAAAGAAAAAGAATGTGGAGAAAGAAAGGAATTGAATTCAACTCTATTAAAGAGGGGAATGGGGAGGTAAAGAGGAGAAACATTATAATAGGATATGATGGACAGAAAAATACAGCTAACAATTACAACTGTGAATGGGATGAACTCATCCATAGAAAGAAGGAGGATAGGAAAATGGATTAGAGAGCAGAATCCAACAATATGTTGCTTACAAAAAATACACCTGAAACATAAAGATTCATGCAGAATTAAAATCATGGGGTATAGTAGAATCTATTTTGCCTCAAGTGAATTTAGAAAAAAACAAAAACAGGAATGGTAACATGCCTTCAGACAACAGTAAAAAAAACAAAAAAAGGAAGAAAGATATACATATGGTTAAAAGAGATAAAAGAGGAAAATTATGTTATGCTTTAAAACACTGTAGATAATAAAACAATATAATTAACATATATAGTGTGTGTATATAACACACACATATGTGCCAAATTGAAAAGCATCTAAATATTTAAAGAAAACAGCAATTATTGGGAGTTTCAATGTGCCCTTTTCAGAATGAGGAAAATCTAATAAAAATATATACTTTAAAAAAAAAAAAAGCTCAAGAACTAAAGAGAATTTTTTAAAATTTAGCTATAACAGACCTCTAAAGGTAATTGTACAAAATTTAACAAATGTTCTAGGCTATAAAAAACTCCTGAACAAATGCATAGAAACACAGGATCCGTATATGCCATTTTACTCTCTATAATCCAATAAAATGATAATCTTTTATTGATTAACTTACTTTTATTGATTAAATTGACCAAATTATTTTACTGTTATTTGAAGAAAGGATTCAAATTTAAATGGAGACTAAAGAATAAGTAGGTCAAAGAATGAGTCACAGAATAATTTCATCAAGGGGGGCAGTGAGTTAGTGGGTAGTGATGGAGATTAAAAAAAGAATAGAAAGATCAGGAATAAAACATTTATAATATACAGAAGAAAAAATTTTGAATTAAGAAGTAGACCATAAAGACAATCTTGCTGCTATCTTGTTAAATTTAATATTTGCCCTTTAAAAACAAATGACAGAATAATGATAACAAATAACAGAAGCTAGCAGTTTCACATATAATCTTACTATCTATTTTTCTTTACATATTGAAACATTTGTTTCCCGCTGATTAAGTGCAAATATAATACAAAAGGAAATTTAAATTAAAAAGGAAAGAAAAGAAAGCCTATGGAATAACATATGGTTGATTTTTTTTTTTCTTTACTTAAAATGTGGTAGAAAAAGCTCAGTTTTCTGAAAAGCCCCAAATAGCACAGGCCCTACCACAGGATCACAGAACTTCCATTTTCAGTTCCCAAGACATTCCTCTCTGTCATACTCTCTTTTATCTTTAACTAAGCTTAAGGTCAACTACCAGTCTTATTTTAAAGTAGAATCTTTTTTTCTAAGTTCATACTTTGGGGAGATAGTGGCCTCCTTCTGCCTAAAATTCTTTAGGAAATGCCTCAAAATCAGGTCAATGACTTGCTATAAAATGGTTTTTTTTCCCCCCAGATCCTCTAAAAAATGTCAGAGTTGTAGTGATTAAAATGTCCAGGGAAGAGATGGAAAGTTGTTGTTGCTTTTGCTGTTGTGTTGTTATTCCCTTTGTAAAAGAATGGTCTTAGAAAGCCTACAGCCTAGGAACAGAAAAGGGATGACAAGGAAGTGCTAATCAAACTAAAAGAGATGAGACCCAGCCAGATGATCAGATAATTTTTTTCTTAAAAATCTACTTTTTGTTATTCTAAACTTGGCAAACACCAATAAACATGGACATTTCCTTATACAAAGAACTGAAAAGGGGTACTGTATATCAAACTGTGAATCTCATTGTGTGTTTTTCTATTAAATCATGCACTTATTTAGCATGTTAGTTCGCAAAGCTGTCCCACTTGACTGTATTTTTTCTGATCCTCCTTCTGTTCTTTTCTATACATTTAAAAAAATATTTCACTGATGTTCCCTTCCTTCTTTTTCCTTCCTTCCTTCCTTCCTTTTCACATCACTATCACTAGCCTTTTTCTCCCAATTAAAACTCCCTCCCAAAAAACTCCTTCCCTCTTTTGGTAAAAAAACAAAAAAACAAAAAATTAGCATAGTAATGAAAATCAAATATTAGCTATGAAAATATATGGCTCATTCCATCATCTTTCTATCAAAAGGTAGAACACATATATCATCCTTTGTTCTCTGGATTTGTGGTTTGTCACTGTATTTATCATATTTAAGTTTTTCAAAGCTTGTTTGTTATTTGACTAACTTAAAAAAAACACTGTAGTTCTTTTATTAATTTTTTTTCTGGTTCTGCTCACTTTACTCTGCATTATTTCATACATATTTTCTGAGGTTTCTCTGAATCTATTTCTTTTGTCATTCCTTATGGTACAAATAATATGCCATTATATTTATATACAATAATTGTAGTGTACTTATCATTAACAATCAGCCAAAAGACATAACTATTAGCAAAGACATTTACTAAAAAGGCATAATACAAGCAGCATCTATAAAATGTTTCCATAAACCTGAGGCATACTTTCCCACAAAAATACATACAGCATCTGTGAGAAGAGTGGTAGTGAGGCACATGTAAGGATACATGTGTGGCAAATTCTGTTACTAAAAGTTATTGGCCTAAAAGTCCTTCTTTCTTTGTAGAGACCTCATGTTGTTCATCTTGCGTGTGCCATCTTTGCTGGGCAGGTTGCCCTGCTAAGCTCCCAGGGTCTGTTCCACTCTGCAGACTGACTCCTCAGCTGCTAGGCCAAGAAGAACAGTTGGTATTTATATACATAAGATTATAATTCAAAGAACTTTCTTAATGACCTTATTTCTATGACCCCCATGTCCCAAAGGACCTATTCCTACAAGAGATCTATTTTGAACTCACATGGTCATGGATTCGTCCTTTGGGAGGCTAATCCCAAAGAGGGAGGTCAGGTTTCTTTTTCTCTTTGGCTCATTGCTCCTACCTCAAATAATTCTACAGGGAAATTATATAACAAAGTTTACTCAATGTTCATATCTAAGGTCTCACCAAAATGTGAATGCTAGGGTCCCTTTTAGAAAACGCTCTCAATGGACAATACAAATAACAGATGTAGGACAGTGGTTCATTTCCTCCACCAAAAAAAATTGTTAAGATTCAAAAGACTCCCTGACATGCATTAACACATGTAGAAAAATGTAAAACATCTAAAGAAGCCCATTAAACTCATAATACTCTCCTAGAAGGTAGAAGCTCTTCGTGGGACTGCTATACAGATATTTCATTTTCACTTATGACCTGTACTAAGTTCCAAATGTACTGCCCTGCCACAGCATGAGTTGGGCTTTCTTTAGTTGATCAGCTACAGGATGATCTGGTAGCAACAAGTTTCTCCTTCAAGAAGCCTTCTTCCTTCTGGTCAGCTGATGCCTAGATAGACAGTGTGAAAAATGATATTAATAACCAGTATCTTGGAGATTCAGAGCTTTCCCCTGCCCCCTACTTCCAAAAGTCTTCACTTTAAATTCAATTTTTCTTCAGAAGGACATTACTGATAATGAAGTTGCATTGACTCTCCTAATCCCAGTCAGCCCCACCCAAGCTCCCAAGAAATTTAATCTAAGGTAGGGAAGGCCATTGTGTTCTTGGGTGGAGACAGATTCTTTTGTCTAGATAGCCCAAATCTGGGAGGTGGTCTGATAAAAGAGGCATTTCCTCTGTCCAGAAGTGAAATGATGATAGGGTGACATCAGCGCCTGTTGAAGGATACATAAACTGGGCACCCTAACCTCAAAACGAGCTCTGTTCTAGACTGGTTCCCATGCATGCTGCCTGCTTTGAGAGAAATAAAACATGGATATAACCTAATCCTGTTTGTCTTTCTTAGACCAAACTCTGTAGGTTAACAATAGATAGACAGATAGATAGATAGATAGATAGATAGATAAAGGTATAGATATTTGAACTACAGATAGAAAAAGTCCATTTCTCAGAACCATTAAATTCTGGCCTATAATCAGAGAAGAAAACAACAATGTAGAAGGAGGCTATCAGGAACTCAAATGTACTTAGCACTTATTCCTGTTCTCATGTCCTAGTAGCTGCCATGGCTACCAGGGAGGGGAAATGAAAGAAATCTCATCCCTCTCACAGGAAGTCCAAGAAAGACAAAGCATGGGCCCAAAGAGGAGAGGGCTGAAGATTGGAGCCTCATCCTAGAGGAGTAAGAGAGGAGCTTTCTAAACAAGAGCCCATCCCTGCTAGGCCCCAGTAGCCAAAGATCCTCAATATAATTTCCCAATCATGAGGACAAATCATGAGTTTTTGAATCATTTTAGCAAGATGTATGAACTTCAGTAAGGAACCAGGGAGTATAAATAGCTCCACAAGAGGGATTCCAGCCTAACAAAGCATACATCCCCATCCCCCATGACATTGCCATGAATTTTTTACCAGGTATTATTCTCCATTTTATAGATGTGATAATAGGGGCTAAATGAGGTGCCCAGAGACCCAGAAGAGCCTCAACAGGCACAGAAGTCTTGAGTGTACACTGTATCATAGCACATCACTATTGTGGTTTGTCCTTCGTACTCTAAGAGGACCATGGCATCAGGAAGGTGATGCAATGACTTGCAAATGAATTGGATTTAAGGGAGGGCTGTGAAAAGTCACCAGCCTCACCTTCTCCTCTGGAGCCATCTGGGTCCAGTGGCAAGACATAGATCAGGATCACTGGAGATGCCCCCCCTCCCCCACAGCACATCACTGAAATATGGAACACAAACGTTGGTTTACTCAGACTCCACCCAAAACTTTCAAAATATTTCCATCCTTTTTTTCCCCTTTCCTAGTTCCATTTCATTCCTGTTTTACTTAACATTTTTTTGTTATCTCTCTTTGCATTCTCTGCTGCCCACTCAGCTTTCATGAACTGTAATCACCTCTTGGTTGAACTCCAGTCATAGAAGCCTCTCAAATTTCAAATGAAAGAAAAATCACCTGATATGGCAACGTGCTTGCAGGCATACAGGTGGAATCTAGTAACAAGATTAAGTATCTGTTAGTTAGAAAGATGGCAGATGGCATGAGGTCCCAAAGCTTGAGTTTCTAAATAATTCTTTTTAAAAATAAATGTTTATTTATATCTCCTGTTTTTACATTCCTTACATTTTCCAAAGTATCCTTTTCCACTCACCATAAACCATCTCCATAACAAAGAATTTTTTTAAGAGGGGGGAAAGTTCATTAAAATAAATAAGATAGTGAAAAAGTCTGACATTATATACTGCTACAGAATTTTGAGATGAGTCTTTTCTACATCTACCATATGCCTGTAACACTTTTCCCTCAGGGCCTTACTTTCAATCAAAGTAAAAAAGTAAAAAAGACTATATATCCTATCCACCCCCTTTTTATGTCATTGGCCCTATTAATGCGGAATCTACAATACTGACCAGTAATTTTAGGAATATTTCTTAACTGTTTTAATGAAATCTTACTCTTTAAATGAGTTTAATTTAATAAATTATTCACCACAATGCCAAAGTGTGGCATTTTTCCATTAATCAATCAAAAATGCCATCTATTGTTTGTAAACCAACTCCTATCTTCACAGGGAAAAATGAAGATGAATGACTAAGAATAAAGACCCTTGCTACATTGACTTATTGCGATTAAATCATCTAGAACTATTGCTGAAAGCATCTTATTTAGATAGTAATTATATGGGTTTTTTTTCCAGATAGACAATTTTGTGCCAGATGAAGGTAGTTAATCTGTAAAATGAAAGTAGCTCCCTATCACCTTAGACTCAAATATAAATATCTCTGTTTGGCATTTAAAGTCCTTCCTAACCTGGCCCTCTCCTTCATTTCTAGGGTTTCATACCATACTCCCCACCATGTATTCTTTGATCCAATGGTACTGGCCTCCTTACTGTTCCTGACCCAAAAACTCATCCCTTGACTCCAGGCATTTTCAGTGGTTGGCCTCCATGCCTGGAATTTTCTCTCCTTATCTCTACTTCCTGACTTTTCTGACTTCTTCAAGGCCCAGCTAAAATCCTACCTTTTACAGGAAACTTTTCCCAATCCCCCTTAATTCTAGTGCCTTCCCTCTATTGATTATCTCTAATATATTCTATACAAACTTCGCTTGTACATAGTTGTTTGCATGTTGTCTCTCCTATTAGATTGTGAGTTCCTTGAGAACAAGGATTGTTTTGTCTTTTTTTGTTTTTTGCCTTTCTTCATATCCCCATTGCTAAGCCTAGTGCCTGGAACATAGTGGATACTTAATAAATGCTTGTTGACTGACTAAACCATTGACTATAGGATCTTTCAAGTGTCTTGTAGCTCTAACAATCTACCATTCTTTTGTTGACATTTTGAGCTTGACTGACTAGGATACTGATAGTGTTCTGAATGTAAATAACACTAGGGACTTGAGAAGTCTGGAAAGGGTTTGAAATAGTCATTGTAAAAAAATTCATTAGGAAATCAATAAGAGATAAATAAAGCTATTATGTCCAATTCTGGACATCACATTTTCAGAACACTGGATTATATCCCAAGGAGAGTCATAAAGATAAAACACAGAATCAGATAATTTTAGAGCTGGAAATGACTTCTACAACTATCTAGTTCAGCTCCCACTATCACATACTCAACAAGTGGCCATCCAGCCTTTTCTTGAAAACCTCTAATGAGGGGGAACCCATTATGAGTAGAACAATAGGGCAGTCCATTGACATCTATCAATGGAAGTCCTACCTCCAAAAGCAACCTATTCTCATTTTTTGACAATTCAGATTGTTAAGAAGCAGTCTAACATTAAGTCTAAATTTGCCTCTTTGTAACTTAGACCTGTTGTTCTTGGTTTTGCCCTTTAGGGCCAAATTACATAATAAGTCCTTTCCTATCCATCGTTGATCTTCACTCCTGCCATTTTTTGCCCTGCTGCTACTGTCCCACGCTCCTAACTAGGCCACCAGAGACCATGGCTGGGAGGAATTAAGCCACATGACTCTTCTTTTCCTGGGATCCTTCCTCCTTATCTTCACCTCTTACACCCTGCTGTCATAGGTAACTTCTCTCCTTCCCTCCCTTCTACCCCTTATTCTGGGAATTATACTGCCCTATTGTCCTGCTCACAATATTGATAACTTTCTAGGCTATAACTCCCCTCCCTAACCATGACTCTGCCATATATGAATGAAAAGGGTTTTTTTTTTTTAAGGGTTCTGCATATAATTTACTACATGCAAAGGTCTATGTGAAGCACACAAATAAAAAAGCAAGACAGTCCTTTCAAGAAGTTAACATTCTAACAAGGGGAGACAAGACATATAGAAAGTCTCTTTCTTTCTTTGTAATTAAGACATTGACAACCACCTTTTTTTAAAATTTATTTTGATTTTCAGTTCCAAATTCTCTCCCCCTCCCCTCACTGAGAAGCCCAGAAATGCAATACCCATTAAACATGAAATTATGCAAAACAGATTTCTACATTAGCCGAGGAAAAAAAAATATGCTTCAATCTGCATTCTAAATCTATCAATTTTCTCTCTTGAGGTGGACAGTCATTTTTCATCCTCAGTCCTTTGGAATTGTGGTGGATCACTCTATTAATCAGAGTTACTAAGTCTTTTACAGTTGATTAGCTTTACAATATTGCTGTTACTGTATACACTGTTCTCCTGGTTCTGCTCACTTCACTTTGCATCAGTTCATATATGTCTCTCCAGGTTTCTTAAACTAAACCTATCATTATTTCTTATAGCACAATAGTATTCTATCACATTCATATACTATAATTTGTTCAGCCATTCTCCAAATGATGGACATCTCCTCCATTTTCAATTCTTTGGCATCACAAAAAGAGCTGCTATACTTTTGTACATATGGGTAATTTTCCCTTTTCTTTTATTTCTTTGGGGTATAGACCTTAGTAGAGGTATTGTTAGATCAAAGGGTATGCACAGTTTTATAGCCCTTTGGATATAATTCCAAATTGTTCTCCATAATGGTTGGACTAGTTCACAGCTCCACCTAACAGTACGTTATTGTACCTATTTTCCCACATCCCCTCCAGCATGTGTCATTTACTTTTTTTTAATCATCTTAGCCAATCTGATAGGTGCAAGATGTCACCTCAAAGTTGCTTTAATTTGTATTTCTCTAATTATTAGTGATTTAGAGCATTTTATATGATTATTGATAACTTTGATTTCTTCCTCTGAAACTGACTTTTCATATGCTTTGACATATCAATTGCTTCACATTGCATTTATATTCATATTCAATTGATGCTTCATATCAATTGGGGGATGGCTCTTATTTTTACAAATTCAGCTCAGTTCTCCTATATATTTGAGATATTATACTTTTATCAGATATACCTGCTGTAAAAACTTTTTTTCTCAGTTT